ACTAGGGGTGCGCGGGTACCCGTAATTTCGAGACCCGAAACTCAGATCGGTACCCGAAAATCAAATCGAGCCCCGAAATTCAAATCGGGACCCGAAACTCAAATTTAAACTTAGTACTAAACTTATAATATCTTTCTTTTCAACAAAAAATATGTGATTCAGTTTTAAAACATGAAATTGACCTTGATATCATCTTTACGCGTTTACCGAGAAAAATCTTATCAACGTGAGATTATGTACTCCCTAAGACCATTCAGCTTTTATTTGAAACATTTTTTAGCGTCGTCAACGATTTGCAAGATATTTGACTGGATCGATTTAAGTGAGTCACCCTGTATATACACGGACATGCGTATATACACGGACATACGTATATAAACGGACATATGTGCATATATACACGGACATACGTACATACACGGCATGTAGACATACGTATACATGGACACGTAGACGTACATATACGCGGACATAAGCACGAGAACTTTCGAGAAATTCGAGTCTTTTATTTCCGTGCGACCTTACTCCCGTCTGCTTCGAAGCGGCGGAGAAAAATCTCAGGAGCGCATCGTCTTCGAGAGATTTCGCTTGCACAAGAAAGAACAGCGGGGTGAGCCAGAACACTTTGGAAGCTCGGACAAATTCTTACGATGTCGGTGAGCGACAGGGGTTGAATCGCAAGAAAACCTTGTCCACGGACCCACCGATCCCGCTTCGCCTCCAAGTTTCGACGTTCTTTGCTATTCTTCTCGCAAATTCCTCAATAGAATGCGTCAGGTCCTACCTGGATACTTAGAATAGTTTTTAACCCTCGGGAGACCGAAATTATGTAACGAATAGGCCTCGCGAAAGATGTTTCATCCGCTGTCGATCAATTTTCAATTTATTTGTGAAATTATTGGATGCTTCGGTGATCTTTCTACTGTTTACTAATGTGTGTCGGAATTGAGAATATTGGTATGTAGTTTGAGACAATGTAGCCGTAGTTGGTAGAATTATGAAGAAGCATTATAGTGACTGTGTTCAAACTCTGCAGCTTCTTTGAGATGGAATATTACTAGTTCCAACATAATATGTAGATCACTGTAGCAAAGCTTTTAACGCTTGACAATTGCAATAGAAGTCAGAACTGGACAGAAAGACAGAACGAACAGTAACGGTGAAGTGGAAGCAGGACGCATGTTTGAGAAATGATTGTCAAAAAGGGTATCAAAAATGAGTACCAAAATTGGATATCAAGGATGAGTACACATCCTCGGTATCACTTCATGGCAGAAATTTTTCGAAAAGCAAGAAATTTTTAAAAAGGACCTTTTTTCCACGGAAACAGGTAAAAAACTTTAAACCAAGTAAAAATCTACTTCAGTAACAGAACGTCGCGTTGGATCATCCGATTCCCACATCGTATTCCAAATAAAATATACAGCACATCAGAAATATATCAGAAGTATAATCTGCATTGTTGATATTTGCACATCGTACTCGAATACGATAAAATAAGCAAACCAAAACGATAAATAATACCAAACAATAGAAAGCAGCATTTTTCTTCCGCTCGTGAAAGCTAACCTGCGTGTTTCCCGAATTTATGAATATGCATTAAATAAAATAAGAATATATGAATACGATTGCACGATCGAGCTTGAAAAATAAAAATATCGTTCAGTTTAAAATCGTCTTTCCTGCTGGCCAGTGCCATTTAAATAACGATTGCCAATGGGTTGGTAGGATATCGGAGTCTGGAACTGTGAGGAGATTTCAAAAAGTTCGAGGCTCCTGAAACAGAGATAGGCAGGACTTTATCGTGTCATACACCAGCAGGTATGAGAGTAAGTGCCCTCTTTTCGCCCCAATTCCCTTCAATCCTGCTCCAGCCTATCTCACCTAGGGCATGGTTATCGAAACTCATTTATATTTCTGAACCCGTTCACCCATTCAAATTCGAGAACTCAACAATTACCCCGATAATTCTGATAAATGCAAAACTATGCCGTCAGGAGCCGTTAATATTCTTCTCGTATTCTGATAAAAGCATTGAATCCCTGATTATTATAATCCGTTGAATTTTATTATCGAGCTCTACTCGAACTGCTCTTGATGCATACTTTTAAGAGATAGTTATGTTAGAAGAGAAGAAACCAACAAATGTATCAAACCATCTAATTAGAATAATCATTTATTCTTCAAACGTTATAATCCTATCATCCTATCACGACGATATATAAGTTGTGTTCATTAGTAGATATTTATGCGAAGATCGTGTAATGTAACTTTGCAAAATAATCTCATTGGTAGACTGCGAATTTTATGCATTTATGATAATCATGAATCAGTGCATTACATTATTTTTAACTTGTTATAATTATTAAAAGAGCAGAGTCATTTTCATCCAACTTATATTTCTTACAATTGGCATAGACAATTTTTATTTTGCACACAGATCCGCAATCTATTTATTAGAGATTGCAATTATTTCAAATTAAATAATAGAAAAACAGAGTTATTATTAGACTGCGTATTTTATGAATTTAAGACAAAAATGAGTAGTTTCAACTTAAAATAGTAGAAAGATTAAAAGAATTTAAAGATATCATTGTATTATTTTCAAGCTAATAAAATTATTAAAAAAAGAATGAACTTTTTATTTAGTTTCTATTTCTTATAAATGACGTAGACAATTTTTATTTTTATAAAAATCCGCAGTCTAGAAATTATTTACAACGAATTTAAGAGACAAATCATTAGAAGAGGAATGACTTACGTTTTTTATAATTAATTTAGACAATTTCTGTTCATTTCAAAATTTTTGACAATAGGAAGACTTTTTAACGGGAAATGAGCCAAAGGTTAACGTGTACCACAAATGTACCACAAATAACAACAGGGTCGGTCACGTGCCAATACAGTGTCACTAATTAATATTCGAACATTTTTCAAAACGCAATAACTTTTTATAAAACTGGACTAAACGACTTGAATTTTTTTTAGATGATAGAGCGACCAGTCTACTAGACCATAACTAGAATACTTTTTTTGAAGGTTGCTACTGATTAGAATGATACAAGAAAACGAAAAACGTCTTCTTTTTAACTTTTTTATCTGAGCCTATAACGAAAATTTAAAAAATTTGTTTTGTAGATCTCAGTAAGTTATATGTATATTACAAATTTCACCGCAATCAGTTGACCTTCGTATGAGCTGTAAACAATTAAAGATCGCAAAAATCGCAGTTTTGTCCTGATTTTTGACACTTTCCACCAATAAGTGTGAGAAATTTGCAGTTTTTACACTATTTTAGCACTTGTAACTTGACTATGCGTTAATCGGTTTTTATGAAATTTTCAGCATGCATATAACTTACCGAGATCTACAAAACGTACTTTTTAAAATTTCATTATAGGCTCAGATAAAAATGTTGAAAACGGGATTCTTTTATTTTGTTTAGTCATTCCAAGTAATAGCAAAATTATAGTTTAGCCATTGTCTAGTACAGCAGTCCCTCTATCATCTAAAAAAATTCAAATCGTTTATTCTAGTCTTAAAAAGCTATTACGTTTTTAAAAGTGTCTGAATATTAATGGAGTCACTGTACATGACTAAAGTACAACTAGTTTAATTTTGTAAGGTGTTTGATAAATAATTTCGAACGAATCATGAGTGAACAGGAAAGCTTCATTATAAGTTTTAGTAGTTTCATAATTTTATAAGTTATAATGAGCTTTAATTGCAATTTATAATAATTTACAGTAAATTAGTAGTCTTCAACCGTATGGTATCTTTCGAAACATTTTGGTACATGTAATGGGACTCAACATCTTTTGCACTCCCACGTTGTTTCGTTACTTTTTTTTACGTCTTCTCACCTGCTTTAGCTACTAACAAAACAACAAAATTCATAAAACACATATTCCCTAGTCTAACACGAGCCTAACTAGTTTAATTTGGCCCTACTGACGCACCACGGCTTCCTTCTCTGACCTGATTTTTTGACCACGTCGGCGTGCGATTACGAGAATTATTGTATCCTCCTTCACTGTCTTTTTATATTGTATTTTGTGTGCGTCACTGTTTAGAAATAAACAGAATAATTTCAAAAACTTACTACCTCTACATTTATATAAATAATATTATTTTATAAAAAATGTTATTTTCCACGATATTTATATATTATAATATATATATATATATAAATAATGTATATTATAATATATATTATTATATATATAATATATGTATAATATATTATATTTATTATATAATATATTATAATATACATTGTAGTCAAATTGGTGAAAAATCTAAATGAATTCAGTGTTATCATTCGTAAAGAGCAACACACGTTGCTTTCAGTATTTAATAAGTTCAGTGTTAAATAATATTGACGGCAGCAGAATAGATTTGCAAGGGCGTGACGTAGGGGCCTAAATTCTTTCCTGAATGGCACTAAATAGAAGCAGTTTTTCAAGATGGTTCCCTCGGCAGTAAACCAGGAACGGCGGGCCGGATTACCGAGCGTTTCTCTTACCGAGAAAACCGTTCGTGGTAAACATCTTTTATTAAGTGCATTTTGCGCTCCAGTGGCGCGTCAATTTTTCAAAGCACCCTCAAGTTCTTTGTCTTCGTGTCTCCATCTAACTATAACGATAAGCGCACGTGGTGGAGAGCAGAGGCGATTAATCGTTCCGTCATCGCCGGGGATAATCTGAACCGCGTGACAATGGCGGAAACGGAACTACTTTCATTCTTTTCCCGCGGTTCCGTCGCGGAATTAAAATGGTCCTCACTTCTTCCGAGTGTGTGTCCTGTCCCGTGAACTTCCAATCGTAAAAACAGACTGAAGAAGTGAGAAATGGAATTTTTATGTCATCGGGCTCGCGAGAACCACTCTGTGCACGATACCGAATGAAATTTATCAGCCGACAAACTAATTCGTTTCATTTGTCACGATCCCGAGATAATTTGTTGGAGCGTAAATTAATGGCGGCACTTTTGTTTTTCAGGCTGTGCATTCGTGAAACTTTCGTCACATCAAGAAGCGCTAGCGGCAATCAATTCCTTACACGGTAGCCAAACTATGCTGGTGAGTATCATCTTTTTTCAATGATCATTTCATACGTTTCAATGGACAAAGTGCGTTCTTCATGATTCTGATTTATTTAAAGACTTTCAAATTTTCTGCGATTTTTTAATGTAAATAATAGTAAATGCAAGATAATATGTTATAAATAGATAGATAATATGTGTTAGTTGTTTTGAACAAGCACTTACTTTTGTAGTACACTCTACGATGTACATATGAAATGCCATAAATTTGTGCATTCTCCATAATCAAATTATTAGAAATCTTTATCCCGCACAATATTTTGAATGAACAATGGCTTGATTTTTAATTAATATTTCTTTAAGTTTCATTGATTTTTGAACATTATCCTTTTTTGAATAATATTGTCTGACACTGTACTAAATTTAATTCTCACGATAATAATGAAAAAGAAAAATACGATTTATTGTATATCACAAGAAAAAAAATATGCAATTAATTTTTTACATGAANAATGAATGCCTTCCGTTGGAAGTCTCACAATGGACACTCGATAAACATAATTAAAAATGTCTATCGAGCTTCCTTGACTTTAAATTGTGGAATATTAACCGGCAATTAATTAGTACGCCGAAAGTAGTGGGGTTTCTAGCTGCTGCGGTTGCTCATCGAAGCTCTCAGGCTTCTTCGAGTTAGTATTATAAGCAATCTAGAGCTGTGCAATGAGGAAAACACAAACGTTATCTGGCTTCTAGTGGCTGTAGAGTTCACGATATTTTGGAAACTGCCCAACTTTTGAATCCATGGAGAAATAATTAAAAATCGACTGCATTTATAAGCATGTTACGATACATCCGCCAGTGAGCAAATATTTATAATATATACAGTCTATTATTTGTCAACCAATTGAATTTCAAAATCAGTCGAGGCTGACATAATTTTCATTCATTTATATGTATAATGAACAATATCTTTTTAACAATACCTTCATAATCTTCTGCATTTTGTATTATCTGTGCGTTTCTTTCATTTTTTCGATCACATTAAACATTCTACGAAGAGATAAAAAGTTAGAAATAAATATAACAACGATGAAATTCAGAACACAGTAATGATCAATATGTTATTTAATTTTTCTTTTTCAGATACTTCGAAACTTATTTTTTCCGATGGTGTAAAAGGTATACATATTTTAAATATGACATGAACGTAAAACATCTCTTCGTCGAATTACGAATTACTCTTTTAAGCAATTGTTTATTTAAAAATTCAATTCTTCATACTGCAGATTAATGGCAATCGTGGCATACGTATTGTTAATAAACGAAAGCCTGGAGGTCGGTCACGTCAGCGGTAGTCAGTGAGTGACTGCCGTGCGATAACAACGATGAGGGTGGTAGAGGAATGTCGTGTGGTCAAGTTCGGGAAGCGGCTTTGCGAACTTTCGCCAATCAGCAGGTGGAATCCTGGACGGAACTCACTGACAATTCAATTACAACTGGGAATTCGTGGTCCGACCCTAAGCTGAGAAAGTTTGGTGGTTTGACAGAGGCGAAGGGAGCGGATTCATCGAAGAAGAAGGAGGCGGCCCACACTTCTCCAAGTGTTATGCAGATTTCTGTTTGGCCAGTCATTAGATTGCAGGCACGGGATATTTACAAGCACAACAGCCATTACTACGGCTGTCTATTCACCACGCTTTAACTGCTCGGGAGAATGACCGTCCATGAATCTACGTCGCATTTCATTGTGTGTATTATTTTCAACACCATTTGCTATGCTAATTTCGCGCGCCTCGTTCTACCCCTTTTTCAATTTCTAGTTTCCCCAGTCACGCTTTCTATGCCACTTTTCACTGTCGTTGTCGACAGTGTTCGAATAACGCATCGGTTAAGTAGAAATATTTTTCATATATATATATATTTTATTCGACGCTATCGAATAAATGTTTAGATACTTTAAAATACCATTTTCATTAACATACTGCTTTAAGTCAAATATATATATATATAAAATACTATTTTCATTAACATACTGCTTTAAGTCAAATATATATATATATATATTTGACTTAAAGCAGTATGTTAATGAAAATGGTATTTTAAAGTATCTAAACATTTATTCGATAGCGTCGAATAAAATATATATATATATGAAAAATATTTCTACTTAACCGATGCGTTATTCGAACACTGTCGACAACGACAGTGAAAAGTGGCATAGAAAGCGTGACTGGGGAAACTAGAAATTGAAAAAGGGGTAGAACGAGGCGCGCGAAATTAGCATAGCAAATGGTGTTGAAAATAATACACACAATGAAATGCGACGTAGATTCATGGACGGTCATTCTCCCGAGCAGTTAAAGCGTGGTGAATAGACAGCCGTAGTAATGGCTGTTGTGCTTGTAAATATCCCGTGCCTGCAATCTAATGACTGGCCAAACAGAAATCTGCATAACACTTGGAGAAGTGTGGGCCGCCTCCTTCTTCTTCGATGAATCCGCTCCCTTCGCCTCTGTCAAACCACCAAACTTTCTCAGCTTAGGGTCGGACCACGAATTCCCAGTTGTAATTGAATTGTCAGTGAGTTCCGTCCAGGATTCCACCTGCTGATTGGCGAAAGTTCGCAAAGCCGCTTCCCGAACTTGACCACACGACATTCCTCTACCACCCTCATCGTTGTTATCGCACGGCAGTCACTCACTGACTACCGCTGACGTGACCGACCTCCAGGCTTTCGTTTATTAACAATACGTATGCCACGATTGCCATTAATCTGCAGTATGAAGAATTGAATTTTTAAATAAACAATTGCTTAAAAGAGTAATTCGTAATTCGACGAAGAGATGTTTTACGTTCATGTCATATTTAAAATATGTATACCTTTTACACCATCGGAAAAAATAAGTTTCGAAGTATCTGAAAAAGAAAAATTAAATAACATATTGATCATTACTGTGTTCTGAATTTCATCGTTGTTATATTTATTTCTAACTTTTTATCTCTTCGTAGAATGTTTAATGTGATCGAAAAAATGAAAGAAACGCACAGATAATACAAAATGCAGAAGATTATGAAGGTATTGTTAAAAAGATATTGTTCATTATACATATAAATGAATGAAAATTATGTCAGCCTCGACTGATTTTGAAATTCAATTGGTTGACAAATAATAGACTGTATATATTATAAATATTTGCTCACTGGCGGATGTATCGTAACATGCTTATAAATGCAGTCGATTTTTAATTATTTCTCCATGGATTCAAAAGTTGGGCAGTTTCCAAAATATCGTGAACTCTACAGCCACTAGAAGCCAGATAACGTTTGTGTTTTCCTCATTGCACAGCTCTAGATTGCTTATAATACTAACTCGAAGAAGCCTGAGAGCTTCGATGAGCAACCGCAGCAGCTAGAAACCCCACTACTTTCGGCGTACTAATTAATTGCCGGTTAATATTCCACAATTTAAAGTCAAGGAAGCTCGATAGACATTTTTAATTATGTTTATCGAGTGTCCATTGTGAGACTTCCAACGGAAGGCATTCATTCGAAGGCATTATGATGTCTGAAGTTATCGGTGCGGACGAGTTTTTATAAATGAAATGCATTGATGATTGTTAAATGAAAAGCCTTCAATCACAAATAGTGAACGACCATGACAGTGTCGTAAATTTGATCCGCTGGGCTTCAACGCGTAATGGGTCCGGCCGACGATTAACGTCGGTCCGTCGTTTTATTAGCTATCAGTGATCGATTGAACGTGCGATGACAGAATGACAATTAGAGAGTATGTCCGTTGAAAATGGAATGCACAGTAGAGCCTCTCGTATCCGAACCAATAAAACAGTATGCGTGTTCCGATAAAGAAATCTTCGGATAAATAATATAATAGTAGGATCACTTCTGCGTTTATTCAAATAATGTTCAAGAAAATTGACGATCTGTTTAAATAGTAGATTTCATATTTCATTGGAAAAGTAAACACTTGAATCTAAGAATATTCATTAGTTATCCCGTGTTCAGTTTTACATATAATTGATTTATGTTTTTTTAATAATTTCTTAATAATTTTGTCCTCATATTTCGAAAACGTGCAAAATATTTTAGCTTTCAAAAAGAAGTCACGGAAACTATGATTCTAGCGTTTGAATGTTCAAAATCGTTCGCAGTTTGTTATTAAACATTAGTTTGTAACACGTCAAATTATTATTTTGTACGAGTCACTAATTCCACTAGTTTAAACATGTATTTTAAAGAAAATGATAATCGATACATAAAGTCGAACATGTAATTTTAAATCTGCTTAAAGAATGAGGCTAATAAAAATTGTACATATTTTTGGTAAATAACATCGGCAATTTTACACAGTAGAATATAATATAACTCTACGATATCCAGTTACGTAATAACGCTTTCAATAATATTATTGTAATATTATATATGCACGAGTGTGTTTATTTGGTACGAACAAAAATTGTATAAAACTGGTAAAAAAATCGAGCTGCAAATTATAGTTACAACAGTAAACTCCCTCTTATTCGGTACCGATGTAACCGGCTTCCGTTTCAACGGACCATATTTTCGTCGAGATTTTCTTCCGCCAATCGGATTTCCGGTGTCCATATCGGAAGGGAGTACAGTACATACTGTAACGATCCTGTAACGGCTTCGACTTCGCATCGCATCAATTTTTTCCACGTAGATATTCCGTAAACATTTATCTGCAACCTGTGTACTTCTCAATCTAATTCACGATTTGTACACAAACATAACGCATTCTCTTTGACGTTAAACACGTAACAGGTTATGAAATCACCTTGATGTATTGAACATTTGATGATTGATTTGTTCGAAGGTAATTCGATTACATCTGATGTGATTATAAAACATGAATTTTGAACCGTCACAAAGACACTGTGTTCGATAGAAATAATCAGCTATTGTTTCCTGAATTATTAATGCTACAAAGAATCATTCGTACGAAATGAAAAAAAAAGATTGCGATTTTTGATGTCCTTTTTTGTATATCGGGAGGAT